CAGAATTGGTGGCATGAATCTGCTCTTTCTGCTCATCCACCTCACAGCTGCCAAATGACATACCATACTGTTAGTCAACCAGTTCTGCGAACTGGTAAAATTGATGAAGATAATGTTTGCAGAGACTTGATCTAAAATTCAATATGCTCTCTACACAGACTTTCACCGTGACAGCAAATTTTAATAGGAATCTTCAATCATAAAAGGTACATGAATACTACATAAAAATAAAAATAGTAGGGAGTCTAAATAGATAGATTCCTATTCTAACCTACATCAATCTGAATATGAAGACTCCATACAAATATTCCAATATATTTAGAAATTGAACACCTTTTTGTAGTTTCAAAAGTTATTTTAACTAGTAAAACAATAAGAGTCATCACGGTATTAGAGATTAGCACATGAATAGAGGGACAAAACCAGTAGACTCACCTCTTTTCCAGCTCTTTGTTCTCCACATCATCTTCACCGTGGCTATACACCGTTTCAGACTGATTTTCGGCTTCTTTATCCATCATATAAAGTTCAGTGGAAGAGGGGGCTGGATTCTGTATTATCTGAGCTTGTTTGCCATTATCAAGTTCTTTGCCCAGGCTCTCTTGTTTTATTTCCATTAGAGTGTTTTCAGTTTCCTGCATATTTTCAGCCTCCTGATTATTGACCACTGAACACAAGAGTGGAGAATGTTCTACAACTTGGGACTGAACACCCTGAGTCGTATTATCAATATTCTCACATTTTTCTTTAAGGGAAGAATCTCCAACAGCGACCAATGAATGGTCACAAGAATCATTGTCCTGGCTTTGGTGTTGGTGAGGAGATTGAGCAGGTACCAATGACGCTGTCATATCCAAACCCGAACGTAAACTCGGGGGATTATTTACAGTTGGGTCCACTGTATCAAGATTCAAAGGGGTTTCGTTGTTCTCAGTTTGACGTGTGCATTGCATGTCGATAGGATAGGACTCAACGTTTGGACAAGTTATGGTTTGTGATACCTCCGAACAACCCTGAAAACCTTCAGATACACGAGTGTTCACTTCTAGCGAACTGCCAAGGTGATCAGACTGTGCTCGAGTTACTTCATCATCTGGTATCATGCTCAATTCGTTCTCATGGAACTCCACAGCAGTTTGTTTATCTCCCACAGCCTGAAGACAGGGTATAGACGGAGACATTCTGCCAGAAGGTTTGCCCATACGAGAAGGCACTACATCATCCATATCACCTGGGAGCTTACCCGACAACTCAAAGCTGGTAAATTCTTTGGCCGCGGAAGTATCATGACCAGATACAGTATCATCTGGTATCATGCTCAATTCGTTCTCATGGAACTCCACAGCAGTTTGTTTATCTCCCACAGCCTGAAGACAGGGTATAGACGGAGACATTCTGCCAGAAGGTTTGCCCATACGAGAAGGCACTACATCATCCATATCACCTGGGAGCTTACCCGACAACTCAAAGCTGGTAAATTCTTTGGCCGCAGAAGTATCATGACCAGATACAGTATCATTTTCATGATTAACCGAGGGGCTTGTTTGCATGGCTACACTTGTCGGAGTGTCTTTGGATGATCTTTCTTCAAACTGTGGAGAGGCATTGACCTTTTCTTCAGCATAAAAAGCTCTACTCATTCGGACTCTAGCTCGTTTTACCAGAGGTAAGTGTTCATCACCATTCTCTGCACAGGGCCTCTCATTCAGCATTTCATGAGAATTTTGAGATCCCTGGCAGCTATCACACGCCTTGGTCCCAAAACCTTCTTCTGCTTCAACTTTAGCAGGAGGGTCAGTAAGGTCACTGGCCTCACGTTTTCTGGTAGGTTTCCTTTTCTTCCTCTTTACCATGGTACTAATTTGGAAATCAAGGCCTTTGCCGAGATCATGACCTCCTTCAAACCCCTCACCAACAGCATCAGCATGCTCAACTTTGGAACCAGAATCATCACCATTGCCCATATTCCTACTACTATTGTCAGATTCACCTGTAGCAATTTCAGAGGCGTTCTCTTCATCGGATCCATGTGATTTTAGAGTTGATGAAACCACATCATCTGATTCAGAGTGACCTGACCTTCGGATCCTCTTTCTCCTTCCTATATTTTCATCATCTATATCATCTACACTGTGGCCACCATCACTGCATTGACGCATGGACCTTCGAAGCCTATCCAATTCCAACCCTGACGAGAGTTTAGAGTGATGAACCGGTAATACTAGTTTCTGTGGAGCACACTTTTGAGACCGTGCCCGTTCATTTCTTCTCCTTGAAGAATGTGTAGCTATCTCACACAGATCTTTAGCTGCTGCATTATCACAGGCGCCATTACGAGCTGGACTGTTATGACGCAGAGCTAGCATTTGTTCAGCAGCTGAAGCATCCTCGCTGAGAAGAGTCGATTCATCTCTACCATGACTAGAATTCGATTCTATTTGTGTATCAAGTCTTGTACCAATTAGATTTTCACAGGCTTGAGGCAGCTCTATAGGATTCCCAGAACTTCCAACAGTTGTTTCTTCAGCAGATTTAGGATCATTAGATTCGTCCAGTTGCTTCAGCTTCTCGTAACTCTCTGTGATCTCTTTAACCGCACGTACAAAATCTGAACCTTTGGCATGCCGTTTTGTCAAAAGCGATTGCTTCTTCTCCTCCGTAAATAATTCAACATCAGCAGGATTGCAGAAAGCTCTGCACATACACCAACAAATATTACTAACTGCAAACGAGGGGATAACGAACAGTTTACCGATCTAGAGGGAAGAGCAAAAAATGAACACGGCTTACAAACTTAAACTAATTCGCTTAATCAACTTAATTTGATAAGCGATCAGCTGTGGTAAAATACTCTCCTCCTAATTATTATACATCGGAATTCACATAAATGTGCGAATGAAGATGCAGTAAATACATTCACTAAATGTTAATGCTAATCTGCAAAGTAGGTGAAAAAACAGTATTCAGAGAACTCAAGATTCAAAAAGCTTAAAACAAGATAAATGATACTCCCTCCGATTCAGAATACTTGTCATTCTAGGCTTAATTTTTTGTTTCAGAATACTTGTCATTCTAGGCTTAAATTTTTTGTCACAAATTAAGTGTGGTTTTAGAATTTCAAGACAAAATTTATTAGTTTTATATTCTATTTTTCTATTGGTTGAAAAGTGGTTAGGTGTATAGGTAATTGTGTTTTTATCTTGAAAATATGTAAAATTAAATGTTTCTTTAATCTGTGTGCAAAAAACTAAAATGACAACTAAAGTGAAATGGACCGAAAACCTAGAATGACAACTAAAGTGAAACGGAACGAGTAACAAAAGTCACTATCCGACAGATGTGGAAGCTCAACCCATAAGTACAAAAGAAACAATGTTGCCCACTATGTGGAAAAAAAGAAACTCAACTCAATTAACAAGTACTCAAGGGAGCCCCCCCAATTCCGAACGAGGAATAATTCTGATCCTAAAACAAGTAAAGTCAGAACTAAGTGATGTATGTCAGAGAAAATACATCACACTGAGAATACCCTGCCTCAACAAGAGAAGTAAAAATTGTACAGTCATGAAGAAGCTACCAGCTTGTACTTCTTAATCTAGCCAGACAGGAACCAAACTTCATTTCCTCGAACGAGGATCATGATAAAATGAATTAATATGCTCGAATGGTGACGCAAAATTAATGAACTCAAACAAATATAGCGTATGAGAAAAAGGAACTGGAAGGAGAACTATGAGGAGAAAGCAAAACATAAGTATGCAAAGAGTAAAGGCACAAAAACTCACATCTGCTGTGTGCCAAAAAAGTGAACCAATACTTTCTTCTTATCCGCTGAGTACCCCCACTTTTCTGGTTCGTTAACCTGCAGTTGCATCCAGCAATAAGCAGACGGTCACGTGATCCAAAAAAAGAAGAAGAAAACAGAGGCAAACAACTTAGCATGGACTGAATCATCATTCGAAACTATGGATCATTTGGTGACGTTCCTGTTATAATCATTAAATGAACGAACACAACTACAGAGCCTAAGAAAAAGGCTAACTAAAAATATGGATCAGAAGTATCTACTAACAACCTACAATTATTGCTCAGTGGTATTTCTGTAATCTGCAAAAAAGGCAGTCGATAATCTGACATAAACATCAAACCAAAAAAAAAACAATATTTTCATCTTAAATTATGTGCAGAGAAGTATATAACCATGAAACTTTTGCAGAGAACAAAAAAGCAAAAGCGAAGAGATGCACAAACCGCGGCAGGCCAAGCAGGAAAGCCTTTGACTTTGGCAAGCACGAGATCTCCAACCTTCCACTGCCTCCGAGCGGATGCAGCGGCGGCAGCCTTAGCACCGCCTTTCTTGCGGCTCGGAGCCATCAGAGGGAGAAGGAAAAACGATAAAGATACAGGAATCAAACTCTCTCCAAAGTGAATCCAGAATCGCAGGCGACGATTAGGAGTGTTGCTAGGGTTTTCCGGTGACAGATTCTTCAGGTAAAGAAGTAGCAGCAGCAGCAGGAGGCATTGAGAAATCCCAATCCAATCGAGGGAGAAAGCTGACCTAGTCAGCCCTAAATCGAGAGACGGTTAGGTGCGAATCGATTAGCTCTGATGGAGGAAGAAGATTCGCACACGAAAACCAAAAAGGGAAGAAAGAAAGAAGATTGAGAGGAAGAGGAGGAGGAGGAGCCAAAAAAAATTGATTGATAATGGCTCTCGGTGGTGGTCGGTGTAGGGTTTGCAAGTTTCCAAATGATTTGTATAACGTGCGCCGTTTATACATGCGTAAGTTAGATTGAGTACTAAAAAATATATTAATCAATTTTGGATTTAATTGATCAAATTAAAATGTTGTAGGGATTATTTGAAACTTTTAAAAGTTTCAGGGGTCTGTTTGAGATTAACAAAATATTCACACACAAAAAGAAGCAAACTTGACGGCGACTGACTGATCATTTTTTTCCGCTTTGATCGGCTTCGACGAGGATTAGAAGAAGAAGAAGATGGAACCTTGGGGTGGGTTATGTTGCGTAGGCGCTGCGGCTCTTTATCTTCTCAGCCGAAGAACTGCCAGGTTTTCATTTTTCTTTTTCCGTCAAAAGTGGTGCCTTTTTTGTTGTTGTTCAGTGTGTAATGAAATGTTTCTTGTCATCTTTTGCAGGGATGTTGACTTTCTCGAATCGGTAACTAGGGTTGACCAGCTCAAGGACTTGGGTATATATATATGATGTTTCTCTCTCTTGTCTCCCACTTGCTTTGATGGTTTCTCACAAGCAACTCTCTTTTTTGTTTTTTTTCTTTGCAGAGAGCATGGTGTTGCCATCGATTGTCGCGGTATCAGGAACAGTTGGCTCTGAGACACCCATCAAGTGTGAGCACAGTGGCATTTTAACTGTTATTCTCCAGGAAGCAGTATGTGTTTGATTATTAGTTTTGCCATTTTTAAAACGTCAAAGCTTTAGTTTTATTGTCTTCATGATTTTGACTATGAACAAAAATATTGATTCTGTAGGCAGAGCACCAATTTCTGAAACGTAACTGGAAGTTTTCATGGGTTCAAGACACTGCATTGATGCTCCCCGTGAGCAAGGAAGTCCCTTGGTTTCTGGTAAGCCTGCTCTGGATTTTGAGCGTTAACTGAACTGGAATTTATTATAGTGTATACTCTTTTTTGATGTGAATAGGAGGATGGGACAGGCCGCGTGAACGTAGCTGGAGCTCAAAGTGCTATAGGGTTTGCCTTGACGGCCGGAGGTGAAGTATTTGAAAAGCCAGAGCCGTCTTCCCTTGTTCGAGGAACATTAGATTTTCTCCGTGGCCTCGAGGTCTTTCCTTTCCTTTCCTTTCTTCCCAAGATTTCTTTGTTCTGTCAAAGTTTTAAATATATTGTCTTCAGATGCTTGGAATAAGACGCATTGAGCGTGTTCTCCCTGTCGGCACACGCCTTACCATTGTTGGTCAGGTAGGCCTTATCTTTGAGTTGTCTTCTTATATACCAACAAACAAGATACGTTTTTAGATCTCATTTTGTTAGTGCTTTGCTTTGTTTATGTACAACAGGCTATAGAAGATGGTATTGGAGATGTCAGGATTCAAAAACCCGATCAAGGGCCATTCTACGTTTCCCCTATGCCGCTCGACCAGCTCATCTCTCAAGTGGGAAAGTGGTCAAGGTTGTCTCTTATCTCTTCCGTAAAAATATACAATGTTGTAAAAGTATTGAAATATATCTTTTTGTGAGCAGGGGGTTCAAGAAAGCCTCAATGGGTTTAGCTCTTGTTGGTGTGATTCTGATTTCAAAGCCTGTGATTGAATATATTATAACGAGGACAGGAGATCTTCTAGAGAGAAGGCGGCAGCGACTGTTAGAAAAAAGGTAAGTAATGTCAGCTGCTAAACCAAAGGGGGGGCAGAGATGAATAATTTCATTCCAAGTTAAGCGGTCAGCTGTTTGTTGCAGAGCTGATGATGCAGCTGCTAAGAGAAAGAAACTTGCTGATGATGCAGCTGCTAAGAGAAAGAAACAAGTGACCCAAAAAGGTTTGCAATAACTTGTTGGTGTGAATATGGTTGGGAGTTTGCTATGATGACAGGTTTTATATTATATATCAACAGAATTGGAGAATGGTACGAGCAGGGATAGCGATGAATATGATCGTTGTGTGATCTGCCTTGAGAGGAAGTGTGATGTTGCTTTTGTTCCGTAAGAACACTTGTTTTAAATGCTCATATACATAAAACCCTCTCGTTGTCTCACTGATCAGTGCATCATAGATTTTGATTCCTTTCTTTTGTTTTTTGGTTCGGATTTTGTAGGTGCGGTCATATGTGCTGCTGCTTGACATGCTCCTTGATGCTGCAAGGGAAGCCTTGTCCTCTTTGCCGGAAAGGTGATTGGTTTTTGAAGATTTATCGCTATTGAAGACCAACAAAAAAAAAAAGGACTCATCATCTGGAAACATTCCTATCTAACAAATCAAGTAAAAATCCTTGATTCCCGTCCGTACTTGACTTGTATTTGACTTTGAGAACCATCTTTGCATCAAAAGAACCTAACTGTAAGAGTGTTAACAAATGTAAAATTTTAACTGAATCCCGTCTGGAATTTGAAAACATCGATCTGCTTCCATTATCACCAGCTTCAAGTTTCTCTCTGTGATCACAAACAATGAATAAACACAAGTATAAAGACATCCGTTGCTTCTCTTTTGTCCCACATCGCTTATGAAGAAAACCATTGTTCACTTCGTGCCTCTATAAATAAAGAGGCTCTGACTCAAATTCAAAACCATGGTTCACTTCGTGCCTCTATTAGCAAAGAGGCTCTGTCTCAAAACCAATTCGTACCTTACTTGGCTTTTGGCTAAGATCAAGAGTAGTATCTGTAAATATATATGGGTCTATGGCTCACATAATATGTATTTTGTAAGTGAGGAAATCCGTTAAGTTAGCTTGCTAGCTGTTTCCATAAGTCTTCTATATGTTGCACTAATCCATTGATAACAATATTTTTAGTTTGTCTTGGTTTTAGTTAAAATTACTCGACTAATCCTCTGACAACAATTTTGTAGTTAGTCTTCGTTTGGAGAAAATATACAAAAAGAATTTGAGGATGAGAGAACCTAGCAGTTACAAAATGTCATTGGATATGAAGTGAATGGGTCTTATGGGCTTGTCTAAGTTCCGATCCAGGAAAGTCCCCGGGCTACTAATCCGCAGAGCTGCGGCCTCGGTAACGAGTGAGTCTTGCGGTTGGAGAGACCCAATCGGCTGAGACGCGTGTGTGGAGCATGTATGTGGTCTCTCCTCGAATGATACCATGGCCGTTGGTAACAAAACAGTTATTCACCTGGGTCCTTAACAGGATTCAACAGATTACGTTTCCGATGACAAATTTGTTTATATTTTTTTTTTGTTGTTTCTAGACTCTCTCTTACACACGTGATTCACACGAAACGTGAGAATAACAAAAGTGTACAAGTACTATTAGAGATCAGCAAAGTCATAGTGGATTAGAAGAATATTTCCTAGTTTCCGTCCACTCAACCAACAAAAGAAAGCGAATCTCCAGCTCGAATGGAAGAAAAACTTGCACAAAGCTATTTGCTTTTTACATAAAAGCAAACCAAACAAAAAAGAGTATGAAGAAGAAACTAGATAAGTACTGTTTTCTTTTTTTTTTGGTAAATAAAAAAACAAAGACGATCACATTTTCCTCCAAAGCGTAGAATCAAAGCAAAGCCAATGGGAAAGAAAAAAATCTCTAATCCCACTAATGTTTGTTCACATATATAAACCAACAATGTGGACATATTTCGTTGTAAACACAAAGCGAGGATGCAGAGAAAAGAGATTAATGATGAAAACAGAGGCGTTTGTTGCCGTCTGATAAGGTACGTGGTGGTTAAACTCATGGCGGGTCAGAAGGATGATAAGTCTGTGAAAAAGAAACTTATCAAGAAGGAGTCAAAATCTGATATCAAAATTCACTTCAAGGAAAGAGAAGAAGACTCTGAGGCTAATGCCATCAGCTCACGCTCTAGAGCAGAGACAGAGAGTGTTATCATGCTGGTTAATGGTAGTGACGTGAAGAACGTAGGAAGGGAAGCTAGCTTTGTGCGACCTCATGCGGTGGTGATGGCTAAGCCTGAAGATGTGATGAGAAGATCACAACCGAAGCCAGTTTCGATTGATATTGATAAGAAATCAGATGCTTTCATCCAGAGTAGACTCGAGAGGATGAGAAAAAGGCTTTAGCCCCTGCCTTCTAGAACCAGAGTTACACTCGTGGTAATCATATACTAATGTGTTTTTATCTATAAATTCTTTTTTTTTTTTTTACGAAACAAATACTGTCTTTATTCTTGATAAATAACGTCTATCTCTACTCATTCATATACTACTTGTATTGTGACTATGTAATATTTTCCAGTTTATATGAAATTTTACTTTGTTAAAAAGAAGAAACAATAGTGAAGTATCATCTAGGTTTGTTGGCCTTAAACCACAAAGTGTGTGCATAACGCACAACAAGTGGATGGTAAACAATAAAGTCATTTATTAAAGTGTGTGCACAGAAACATGGCTACAGAAACTTAATTAGCACCTCACACACTCATCATCTCCCTCTCATGCACCTCGCCTATAAAAATACGATACAATAATTAGTATAACAATTAATTAACAAAAAGTAACTAAGATATAGGTTACACTAGTAACAAAAGAATGTAATCAATGATGATAGGAACAAAGCCAAAGCCAATCTTTATTTTTATTGGTTTCATTGTTTCATGAACTGAAACACATGCAATTGGTTAACACTATCAATGATTCGTAAAACAGCCTTTTATATACAATTGGTTGATCGTGCAGAATTTTATTGACAAGATGCGAGAAAAGGCCTATATAGCCTAGAAATGTATAACCAATAACACATGAAAGCATCATGCATTCATTCTTCTCACTGCTTTTGCATAAGATTCCATCAAAACCACAACTACTATTCTTTTCTTTCACATCTCATATAATACTATTGTCTACTGAATTTGCTAAACATGTTTTTCATCAATTTATTATTACGAAAACAATACTTGCCTTAATCCAAATCATGAATGTCATCAATGTGATTTTAAGTTTATATTTACAATATTTTTTCTAAAGGTGATGTAGGGTTTTAGTTGATGATGATCCAAGTGCACAATGTATATAATATGAATATGATTGATATTATAAGGATCGCATTATACTCACTAGGACTTGTGTTGGATTTGGACACGGGAATGCATATGGGTGAAGCATGATGTACAAGTGGATGGTAAGCGCATCTTGATCTACACGTACACACAACACCCGTACAAATCTGGCATTGTTATAGACCCCCTCCCTCTCTCTATATAATATTAACACATAGTATTAGCAACGTAACTAAGAATATTATAGCCATGAGATCAAAACAAGCGAAGTTAGTAGCCAGCTTTTTGTTTTGGGGTTTTCTGGTGTTGTCAAGTGCAACAGAAGATCTGCTGGTGGTATCTCAGTGTAAGAACCAATGCAAACATGATCTCCACAACATGAAAGAGTGTGAAGATAGGTGCGACAAAAAGATGATGATGATGATGATGGACCAAGAGGAAGGAATATATCAAAGCTGCATGACCGCTTGTCCTCGTAGCATACAAGAGACGATGGCCACAGGGAAGCAAGATGAAGGAAGAGGTTATGGGCCTTTGAAGACAAAATGCAACGGGAATTGCAGTTCTCCTTACACATCCCGTAAAAGATGCATATCCCAATGCTTAAAGTCTTTGGTTGGGAAGAAGAAGATGGACAATGAGGTAACCTGCGAGTCATCGTGCAGCATCCTTCAAGAGGAACCGCTCATTGTAAGGTGCACCAGGGTCTGCCACGAGAGAACTCCCGGAGCTGTTGACTTGGTACTACTTGAAAAATAGAATCTCTACCTAAGGAATAAAAGCTTTGTGTAATGATCCAAATAAAACTAATAGTATTAACACTTGTTTTGCCTCTGAAAACTACTAGTTCGTTATTAAGAGAGAGGTAAGAGAGCAAGAAAGTCCTTTTAAGAGTAAAAGTATCTAAGAAAAGCAAATCTACACAAACTGGCAATGCATTGGCCTTGTATCATCCTTTGATTGGATTGGGTTTGATGCTCTTCTCCGAAACATCATCAGTAGTAGGAGAGGCAAGCTTAGCAGTATCAGGAGGACAAGTATCTTCCATGACCTTTGGGACAGTGAAAGTGAAGTCTCCAAGGGGCGCATCCTTGAACTCTGGATGGTCTTCAATGTAGGATGCGACTTCGTTGCGACTCCTCAGCTTCTTACCGGCTGGAGTAATGTAGTAAGTATCCATCTTAGAGTAGTCTTTTCTGAGGACAAGGCTCCTCTTGAAACCTTTGGGGGTTTTAGGGATACCAGGCTTGTCGATGACCCAGGTTCGAGAGGAATCATAGTCAAGATCTGCAGGGTCTTCACAAGAGACTTGTTTCTTGTCGCAGGTAAAAGGGTCCTCCAGCACTCTACTCCTGATGTCCTCGTACTCCTCCTGGCTATCAATGACCCTCCACTTCTGACAAGCATCGCATTGTGCCGCATAGGTATCGACAACCCTCCCTGGAGCAAGGTCTTTCTGCAATATAAGCTCAGTGTAACAAAAAGACAACCACCAAGCTTGTGAGGCAAACTAGTTCAACAATGTATCTATTAAAAGATGACAGCTTTTGTAGAAGAAACAGTTAGAAAATATCAAAGAGAGTGAAAACTATCGGAAGATAAGAATCAATCAAAAGGAAACCCCAACAACAAGTTACATCGAGGATAATGCCTTTGAAGACTAAACGATTAGTAATTACTACAAAAGCTCTCAACTTTATCTGCCAGTGTAACAAAAGACAACAATACAAGGCTTTGTATGGCAAACTAGTTCAGCAATCTATCAAAGAAAAAAATGACAGCTTTTATAGAAGAAACAGTTGAAAACATCAAAGAGGAGTGAAAATTATCGGAAAACAAGAATCAATCAATAAGTAAACCCCAACAACAAGTTACAACCAAGAAAATGCTCTTGTAAGACTAAATGATTAGTAATTACTACAAAAGTTCTCAACTTTATCTCTCTCAAGCACCTAAAAACTGAAACCTAGAAGCTACAAAGGAGATCTGAGATCTCAGTGATGACAAAAACATGCAAAACGCATGCACTTTGGCACAAAATTATTCGCATCTGTGGACGAAAAAAGAAAACACAACAAAACCTTAACTAACCTTGGCTCTTGGTGTCGCTGCTTTCCCGAGCTCTTCCTCCTCCATCAGCTTCTTTCTCTTTTAGTTAAAATTTTCAGCTTTTTTTTTATTATTTTCCTTTTCTTTTTCCAACACCAAGCCCCCTCTTCAAAGCTCCCCTGACTTTCTCAAATACACCCCTCCTACCTGCGAAAACTGCTAATCCCACGGCCCGTGCTAAAAGGCTATCAACTCTGACAGACAAATCTACGTCTGACACCTCATCTTACAATTCTTTTCATTGTAATACAAGCGAATGATTTTGGGCTTACGGCCCAGTATTTAAGCATTTAAAATGGGCCTAATGTAAACAAAAAAAAACGAGACAACGATCAATCCCGCGAAATTAGCAAAAATATTTTTATCAGTGATTCTGTTCGTTTTCATCTTGACTGATTCTAACTGTTCCGATTCTAAGTCCTTCCTTTCTACGTACGCTAACGATCTCCGGTATATTCACTGCCACGCTGGCAATCTCTAACCGTCCTTCGCTTCTCACCCTCCTATGATGGAATCTCGGCCGTCCGTTACAATCCAGCGTCGTCAGAAACGGCGGGAGATCTCGCTTCCTCGTCACGCTTCTTCCTCTCCTCAATTCTCCAACCGCCTCCGTCCTCTTCGGTAGAGGCATCCGCGGCGGCGCTACCGATCTCGACTCCTTCAGTAACGGCGGTCCAAACGGTCCCCACGCCGATATTTCTCCCCCTAGATAAAAATCGTCAGCACCTCTGTGTTCCATGCCCTCGTGGAGAGATTCGCCGCCCGATTCAATCGGAGTGCTCCACCGCCGTCGATGAGAATGTGTTGGTGTACTGTTCTCTGATGGTTGGATCTCTACTACGCCTTCTTCTCCGACGAGAATCGTAGAGGATGATGTCGTGGTTACCATAACCGCTCTTCTTTTCTTTTCACGATCGCAACTTTTCTGGATGCGATGACATTTTTCCGTGTTATAAGTCGAGATGGGCTTTAATTCAATGTGGACTATCTTTGATGATATATATAGCATTTGGTGGGCCCAGTGCGAGAGGTTTTGCCAGCGTGGCAAACAGAGAATTCAGTTTTAACGGTCGTTTGTAAATTGACTGACGCCTTCTAACGGTGGTGCCACGAAATAATAAAATTTACTGATTTCATATTATGGGCTTGTACACTTATATTCAAAAGCCCTTTTACTCGGTACACACGGATTCTTACATCTCCTAGACAAACGCCCATCATACTTTGATGAAAGCCTCAAACGTTAAGAGCCCATATTCCTGAGGGTGCTGGGTCCTTTACGAGAAAGCAATCAAGTGACAAAAAATTTGTTGTGATTCCAATAAGTAACCACGTTAAAGTAACTTAATACGCTGTCAAGTTCTTAAGCATGCTGGGTCCTTTGTGAGAAATACAAATTGTCTTTGTTTTCACTATTATATGGCATGCGGTTTGACACTCACCGAGTTCCAATCTATGTTACAAGTTAAGCTCGAGAGTTTCAAAAAAAAAAAAAAAAAAAGATCGAAACATGCCTCTATAACTTATCTGATTCCTTTGCAGTTCACATAAAAATATGTTGATGATTCCAATAGGTATCTACGTTACCAGTGGCGGATCCACGTTGAGCATAGGGGTACACCCCATAAATATATATGTTAACAAGTTTCGTTAAGAGCCACGAGAGATGACACATGTAAATTGGTTGGTTCTCCCTGCTCTTGACACCCCTAACCAAAGTTGGACTCCCCTCTAACCTCATTTTTACAAAAGTTCCCTACATAAATCTTTCTGTTGGGCGAAAGTCCAATTTATGACTCTTCTTAAAATTATTCTAGATCCGCACTGTACGCTACACACGTTAACTAATATGCATCATGTCAAGTATACAACCTCTCAGAACGTCGCATATATTGCAATTCTGTTTTGCTTTTATTGGAGTTGTCACCGACAATAATCAGACAAGATATATGAAAGCATGATGACGAGTTGATGATGAATGCAAGTGATAAAAGTGAGAGAGATGGGATGTTTTGATCGTAATTTGTGGGGTTTTTAGATTTTGAGAATTTCAAGATGAAAGGTCCATGTCTCGTTCTTTATATCTCTAGGGTTTAGGTGTAGGCTAATAAAGACAAAGAGTATCCATCGTTGTTCAATATTTTTGTCTTTTCTTTCCTCTCTCTTTCTTTTATTTTTTTTTATTTTTCTTCCATTTCTATGAAATCTCTGCACATCTAGTAAACTTTCCATTCAGAGTAGCTATGCTCCTTTAACTTCTTTCCAGATTATATAATCTGATAATTTCCCGTTACCCCTCTGTTTTTTCTCATACAATGTGGTTAATTGTAAGTTTAATATTTATTTTTAACTGTAAGTTTAATATAGTATATACATGTTTTCTTTTTGGTAAAATGTTTAAGATTATATACATGTACTGTGTCTTTGAATTAATCTTCATGTATTTTATGATTTTATCTCAAACGACCCTCTCTGCATGTACAATTGTGTATATACTTACTTTGTAAATGGTTAATAACTTACCGGCCAACAACTTAACTCAATTCTATTTCTGTTCTTGTTAAAAAGATGTGACCGACTCCTCAATCACCATGCAGACCAGTTAAATCAAATTGCCATGTACCGGGAATCTATAACCTTTCAGCTTAAGTTACTTAAGTAATGACTGAATACAATAAATTTGTTTAATTTTGAACCCAGAGCGTTGAATGTAGTCAAAAGAATGAATCTTAGTGTAAACGACAAATTAATGATTTGTGGCCAGAAGATGTTCATAAATCACCAAACAAGGTTTATGTTATTTTTTGTCAAAATCAAAGACAACAAAACCGAACGAGACCGACCATCAACAAATGAAAATCAATATTTTCAAACACGAACAATAGATAATCGAGAAAAAAAAAATACAAATGATCTATCATTAGTAAATACGTGATGTTTGTTTATCCATATGTCACTCATCTCTAACCAGATGATCCATTCAGATGATTTATGCAAATGATTATTTTAGATGTTATTCAGAATTATTTTTTCTCGATTGAAAAGGTTCATCTAAATGGATCATCTAAATAAATTAATTTATATGTTCATTTTTACACTATTTATATCTAGGTGAACATATTAAATAAATGACTTGTAAATCCTTGTTTTGATTTAATCTTATGTCAGTTTTAGGCTTAACTATATTAATCTTTGTAATCTAAAATATAATGATTTAAAATATGGTTTTTGGGAGAAATATATATTTTTTTTGGTTTCTCGACAAGATGCATTTTAGCGACTTTGGTGGAAATTTGTGATTATGCCGTTTTAATGGAATTTTCATTTTTAGTTTCTGCAGAAAATGTGATTTGATTTTGGCAAAAATTATACTGTTACGTTTTATGCGAAAATTATACTTTTATGATTTTGGTGGAAAATTATAATTTTATGATTTTGGTGGATAAGGTATTTTTGCAATTTTGTCGAAAAATGTGATCATTCAGTTTTGACGAGAAAATGTAATTTTGTTGTTTTGGCAGAAACGAAATTATGCAGTTTCGACGAGAAAATGTAATTTTATGATTTTGGCATAAAATGTGATTAGGCAGCTTTTTGAAGAAAATAATCATGGTTATTTATTTTTTACACGTGAATCTAAATATTTTATGGACAGAGGTAAAGTTTTCATTTATTATTTTAGACATGTTAATTTCTATCCATATGTATGAATTAGACTCATCGGGATAGATCTTATTCATGCTAAAATTTTAAAATTTATTTAGATGAGTCATTTGGTGATGTTCATTTTAACATAAAACAAACATCAATTCACATTTACGTTCAGATGATATATCTGCTTGGCAAAAGAACATGCATATATTCACACTAAAACAACGAGAAGCTCCCCCGAATAATGGACATGATATGCAAGAGTATTTGACAAGATGAAAAACAAAAAGTTAATGTTAATCAGGAATATGATATTATATACATAAGCAGTGAAGGTATATTCAAAATTAGTAAGTTACTTGTTAAAATTTGTGTTTATATTTTATATCATTATATAGAATAAAACTACCAAAGAAATAGAAGTAGGAAATGCTTTTCTTTTTCTTCTTCAAGCTTTTGATACCCTTACCACTTGCATCCAAAAAAGAAAGTATATTAAAAAATTAGACATGTTCATTTCTATCCATATGTATGAATTAGACTCATTTGGATAAATCTTATCATGTTAAACTTTTAAAATTTATTTAAATGAGTCATTTGATGATGTTCATTTTAACATAAAACAAACATCAATTCACATTTAATTCAGATGTTTGGCAAAAGAACATGCATATATTCACACTAAAACAATGATAAGCTCTCCCAAGTAATGTGCATGATAAACGGGAGTATTTGACAAGATGAAAAACAAAAAGTTAATGTTAATCAAGAATATGATATTATATACATAAGCAATTAAATTATATTCAAAACTAAAAGTTACTTATTAAAATTCGTGTTTATATTTTGTATCATTATATATAATAAAAACTAGCAAAGATAAAGCAAGAATATGATAAAAAATTTAGACATGTTCATTTTATCCATATGTATGTATTAGACTCATACGAATAAATCTTATTCATGTTAAAATTTATTTAGATGAGTCATTTAATTATGTTCATTTTAACATAAAATAAACACCAATTCGCATTTACATTTAGATTTAGATGATCCATTTGCTTGATAAAAGAATATGCATATATTCACATAACAACGATAAGCTCCTCCGAGTAAGGATAAATGGGAGTATTTGACAAGTTGAAATACAAAAAACTAATGCTAATCAGGAATATGATATTATATACAAAAACAATCTATTATTATAAAGCAGGGTTTTCCCTCTTTATAGACTGCCAGCTCATCAATTCACTCAACCTTAGTGCAACACGTGTCCATTTAACAAAACGCTAAGTTTATTCCCTAACAAGTTTTGTATCGTTTCACACATATTATAAGTGGGCTTTCTCTTTACTCCTATTTTGTTATTTAGTTTTCTCATTGTTTAGTCCAGCCCGATAGAAATGGTATGATATATTCTTGGTTAAGTTATTGCTTAGGGCTCTTCTTCTTCGATGTCCACACCAACAATGGAGTTTGGGAATGACGATTGAGAATCTCGGCGTCTAGCTTCAAGATAACGATTCTTTTTTGGTTCTTATCCAGCAAGACGTTACCAGATGTCCAGATTGATCGCCTTTAAGAAACCTCTTTACTCCATCGACGCACATCATGCACGATCTGACATTCAATGCTCTGCTTATTCCTCTTCCAGGTGGTGCTTTTTCTCTTATATAAAGATAAAAATTCATTCCTTTAATATCATCTTCACAGTTCATGATAATCCCAAGTTTAATTGCAGTCTAATGGCTAACTCATATGTTCTTCTTGCTAATCTGAACATGGCCTATATTCTTTCACCGTCGAGGTGTGAATTTTCAGGTTCTGGGAGGCACGTGAAAAGCTGTGGCGAGTTGATTGGGTTCAGACATGCTCTTCCCTGATGTAAGGTTCGTTCTTTAAACTCATGATCATTGTATTTTAAACTATTCCGGCGTTATGAACTTAAATTATCAAGCTATTGTGTTCATATTTTTTTTTGAAACACTGTGTTCATATCTTTATTAAACCTACTTTGAATGAGAAAATTTGGGACGGTTTGTTGATTACGTTTCTCTCTTCTTCTCTCTCTGTATAGCTAAAGGAAGCTCTTTTTAAATCAGACCTTATCGCTTCTTCTTCTTCTTCCTTTGGTCGAAGTTTTAAAGTTTTGATTTTTTTTGCTTCATTTTAAGGGAGAGAACATAGTATCTGGATCACCTTGGAACCGGAGTCATCACCACCACGAGAGAGAAAAGTTCTTGGACATCAGTAAGTCTCTTACTCTTAGGGCTGAAGTTTGGTTTCTCTTGATTTCTTAGTGTCTTACTGTTTTTGTTTGATGGGACTGAACTTAGTGATATATTGGATGAGTATTTAGTAGACCGGTTCTTGAATCAGGTGACAGAGATCGTTTCTGGGATTTTAGACTTCTCCCTTCAGTGGATCGAATACAAAGAGATGATGAAGTTGATGGTAAAATCTGTAAGGAAACAATCCCTGGATCTGCAGGAGGAAAAAAAAAGATTCTGATTTAGAACAGTCTTTGGGAGGCTAATTAGTCTTAATGACAGAGAAAAGTGAAAAGCAAGAAAAAAGAGCTCTAAGTTAAAAGGAACTTGAAGAAAGAGATACTCATTAACAAGCTGAGAAAATAAACAAGTTTTTTTTGTTTTTGTTTTTGTTGTTAGTCACCATATTATCAGTACAAAGACAATTGCAAGTTCACATTATTATCAGTATTAGTAAAACTCGCATGTTGGAAGACAATAATTACAAATGAGAAAGTGATTACTCTTACAATATCATCTAAGACATACCAGATGTTCCCAAAAAGATTCGGATGTCAAAATGCATATAACAAATTCTAAACTACTCAGACAATCATTGAATACAAATAAAATTGGTTCCTTCTAACACAAGTAATCTTGGTAACATTACTTATCATTAAGAAACACTTCGCTTTCTTAAAGAAAAAAACCATGCATCACAAACATAACAAAAAACAACAGCACTATAACTCTGAATTCAGCATCTGAAACGTAATAATTCCACCTTCACTAACCCTTCTATCTTATTTTATAAATAATTATAACGAATAAATGAATAAGAACAACTATTAGTTTACCTACTTTGCAGCTATTACTAAATATCAAACAAGTTATAGAAATAGCCATAATCAATGGCCTTAGCTGACAGTTAAATCTTATAAAGCTTAAACGAACACTTGAAGATATGAATTGTTTATACAAATTGTGACGCAAGATGGAAATTAAACACTAAGCATGATAGTTATGAAAGTTTGAATCATAAATCATCGACAACCAAAAAAGGGACTACATAAAAACCTGACAATACATGTTCAAATATAGGATAATAAAAATGTCGGCCTAATGTAATATTCCTCGAACTCCATTGTACACAATACGCTAAACCGACTTTTCTCCCTTCTTCCTTATAGTGGTATTGATAAAATAAAACCCACATATCAATACTTGCGAGTCTAAAACATAATAAAATACAAGTAACCCACCAATTACTTCTTTAAAAAAGCAACCAACATGGAAGACTATTTAAATACACTATTTTTGTTAGTTGTGTTTTCAAATGGCTTTAGTTTTAGTTGAGTTATAGAATGTAGGGTATGTCTGGTTTGTACTAAAGTAATTTGAGACTAATTAAACAAGAGAGTATGTGTGGTAAACATTAAAGAGAAAAAAGAAAAAAAATATGAACTAAAAATAAAAAATATAAACCATTTTGCATTCAGTGCTTCATTAATATAAGCAAATTTTGTCGTTCACTACAAGAAAAATAGTATTTAGCTACAAATTAGCCACAAAAAACATTTTGTGGCTGTTTTAAAACCACAAATAGCTACAAAACAGCCACCATTAACTGAAATCTGTAATCTGTAGTTATTTTGTAGATTTTTGTAACTAAATAGCTACAAAATTTATTTTGTGGCCATTTGAAGAAAATTTGTTGCGGTTAGCCA